ATGGTGGGCTGCTGAGAATACACAGCCATGCGTCCGCATGCACCACACATGCCACCAGTCAAAAGCACCATTCGAACATCAACCCAAATCATTAAGTAGAAAAAGGACGCAACGTCAATGCTGTCTGCAATGACAATACATGGATCCATTGACTACCAAAAAGATCCAACAAACCTTTTGATCCTTTTGGACTTTGATGCCTCCATGGTTTGCCCTTGTGGATCAGAAGTAACCCACAGGGCTAGGAATATGGAGGCAGTGCCTCGCAAGGAGCATGACTCAACTTGCCGGCAGTCTGTTTGGGACGCCACCACTGAGGATATACACCATGACAACCTGGTGCCCAACACATGGTGGGCTGCTGAGAATACACAGCCATGCGTCCGCATGCACCACACATGCCGCCAGTCAAAAGAACCATCGAAAACAACTATCAAAGTTTGGAGCACCTTCCCTCAGGAACATGTCTCTTGTATTTTCATGTATTTTCGTATTTAAGGTTTTAAGGCTTAAGGTTATATTATATTGTGGGTATTTCCGGATTATATTGATTTAGTATTCGCATCATATTGTCAAATGCAGATGGTATTGAAATCAACAGTTGTTGGGTCATACAATTAGCATGATATATTAGTTGTCACACTTTGGTGCCTTAAGATTTCCTAACATAGGGGGTAAAAAGGCCCTCGTTTTATCTGATGTTTCTCGATTAAAACCACCCTACCCCACAGTTATCCTTAACTGAGTCTACTAATTGTGAATAAACCAATACCAAACATCCAAATGTTGCCATGCAACCATTCCACCGACTATCAGAGCTATACTGGAGACATGTCCCCGAGGGTATTTGACATGTCCTTTGAAACTAACATCAACCCACATCAACAAGTAGAAATAGGATGCAACGTCAATGCTGTCTGCTATGACAGTACATGGATCCATTGACTACCAAAAAGATCCAACAAACCTTTTGATCCTTTTGGACTTTGATGCCTCCATGGTTTGCCCTTGTGGATCAGAAGTAACCCACAGGGCTAGGAATATGGAGGCAGTGCCTCGCAAGGAGCATGACTCAACTTGCCGGCAGTCTGTTTGGGACGCCACCACTGAGGATATACACCATGACAACCTGGTGCCCAACACATGGTGGGCTGCTGAGAATACACAGCCATGCGTCCGCATGCACCACACGTGCCACCAGTCAAAAGCACCATTCGAACATCAACCCAAATCATTAAGTCGAAAAAGGACGCAACGTCAATGCTGCCTGCAATGACAATACATGGATCCATTGACTACCAAAAAGATCCAACAAGCCTTTTGATCCTTTTGGACTTTGATGCCTCCATGGTTTGCCCTTGTGGATCAGAAGTAACCCACAGGGCTAGGAATATGGAGGCAGTGCTCGCAAGGAGCTTGACTCCCTCAACTTCGGCAGTCTGTTTGGGACGCCACCACGAGGATATTACACATGACAACTGTGCTCCCCCAACCACATGGTTGGGCTGCTGAAATACACAGCCATCGTCCGCATGCACCAACACATGCCACAGTCAAAAGACCATCGAACTAAACCCAAATCCTTAAGAGGAAAAAGGACGCAAGAGTCAATGCTGACTGCAATGACAATACATGGATCCATTGACTACCAAAAAGATCCAACAAGCCTTTTGATCCTTTTGGACTTTGATGCCTCCATGGTTTGCCCTTGTGGATCAGAAGTAACCCACAGGGCTAGGAATATGGAGGCAGTGCCTCGCAAGGAGCATGACTCAACTTGCCGGCAGTCTGTTTGGGACGCCACCACTGAGGATATACACCATGACAACCTGGTGCCCAACACATGGTGGGCTGCTGAGAATACACAGCCATGCGTCCGCATGCACCACACATGCCACCAGTCAAAAGCACCATTCGAACATCAACCCAAATCATTAAGTAGAAAAAGGACGCAACGTATGGATCCACTGACTACCAACAAGATCCAACAAGCCTTTTGATCCTTTTGGACTTTGATGCCTCCATGGTTTGCCCTTGTGGATCAGAAGTAACCCACAGGGCTAGGAATATGGAGGCAGTGCCTCGCAAGGAGCATGACTCAACTTGCCGGCAGTCTGTTTGGGACGCCACCACTGAGGATATACACCATGACAACCTGGTGCCCAACACATGGTGGGCTGCTGAGAATACACAGCCATGCGTCCGCATGCACCACACATGCCACCAGTCCAAAGCACCATTCGAACATCAACTCAAATCATTAAGTAGAAAAAGGACGCAACGTCAATGCTGTCTGCAATGACAATACATGGATCCACTGACTACCAACAAGATCCAACAAGCCTTTTGAACCTGTTGGACTTTGATGCCTCCATGGTTTGCCCTTGTGGATCAGAAGTAACCCACAGGGCTAGGAATATGGAGGCAGTGCCTCGCAAGGAGGGCTAGGAATATGGAGGCAGTGCCTCGCAAGGAGCATGACTCAACTTGCCGGCAGTCTGTTTGGGACGCCACCACTGAGGATATACACCATGACAACCTGGTGCCCAACACATGGTGGGCTGCTGAGAATACACAGCCATGCGTCCGCATGCACCACACGTGCCACCAGTCAAAAGCACCATTCGAACATCAACCCAAATCATTAAGTCGAAAAAGGACGCAACGTCAATGCTGCCTGCAATGACAATACATGGATCCATTGACTACCAAAAAGATCCAACAAGCCTTTTGATCCTTTTGGACTTTGATGCCTCCATGGTTTGCCCTTGTGGATCAGAAGTAACCCACAGGGCTAGGAATATGGAGGCAGTGCCTCGCAAGGAGCATGACTCAACTTGCCGGCAGTCTGTTTGGGACGCCACCACTGAGGATATACACCATGACAACCTGGTGCCCAACACATGGTGGGCTGCTGAGAATACACAGCCATGCGTCCGCATGCACCACACATGCCACCAGTCAAAAGCACCATTCGAACATCAACCCAAATCATTAAGTAGAAAAAGGACGCAACGTCAATGCTGTCTGCAATGACAATACATAGATCCACTGACTACCAACAAGATCCAACAAGCCTTTTGATCCTTTTGGAATTTGATGCCTCCATGGTTTGCCCTTGTGGATCAGAAGTAACCCACAGGGCTAGGAATATGGAGGCAGTGCCTCGCAAGGAGCATGACTCAACTTGCCGGCAGTCTGTTTGGGACGCCACCACTGAGGATATACACCATGACAACCTGGTGCCCAACACATGGTGGGCTTCTGAGAATACACAGCCATGCGTCCGCATGCACCACACATGCCACCAGTCAAAAGCACCATTCGAACATCAACCCAAATCATTAAGTCGAAAAAGGACGCAACGTCAATGCTGTCTGCAATGACAATACATGGATCCACTGACTACCAAAAAGATCCAACAAGCCTTTTGATCCTTTTGGACTTTGATGCCTCCATGGTTTGCCCTTGTGGATCAGAAGTAACCCACAGGGCTAGGAATATGGAGGCAGTGCCTCGCAAGGAGCATGACTCAACTTGCCGGCAGTCTGTTTGGGACGCCACCACTGAGGATATACACCATGACAACCTGGTGCCCAACACATGGTGGGCTGCTGAGAATACACAGCCATGCGTCCGCATGCACCACACATGCCAACAGTCAAAAGCACCATTCGAACATCAACCCAAATCATTAAGTAGAAAAAGGACGCAACGTCAATGCTGTCTGCAATGACAATACATGGATCCATTGACTACCAAAAAGATCCAACAAGCCTTTTGATCCTTTTGGACTTTGATGCCTCCATGGTTTGCCCTTGTGGATCAGAAGTAACCCACAGGGCTAGGAATATGGAGGCAGTGCCTCGCAAGGAGCATGACTCAACTTGCCGGCAGTCTGTTTGGGACGCCACCACTGAGGATATACACCATGACAACCTGGTGCCCAACACATGGTGGTCTGCTGAGAATACACAGCCATGCGTCCGCATGCACCACACATGCCACCAGTCAAAAGCACCATTCGAACATCAACCCAAATCATTAAGTAGAAAAAGGACGCAACGTCAATGCTGTCTGCAATGACAATACATGGATCCATTGACTACCAAAAAGATCCAACAAACCTTTTGATCCTTTTGGACTTTGATGCCTCCATGGTTTGCCCTTGTGGATCAGAAGTAACCCACAGGGCTAGGAATATGGAGGCAGTGCCTCGCAAGGAGCATGACTCAACTTGCCGGCAGTCTGTTTGGGACGCCACCACTGAGGATATACAC